ACCCATCCCGGACCCGCCACGTGTGAATAATTTCACGAAAGCCAATAATGGGGCTCGAATTTGAATACGAATGGCGGGAACTCTTTGCAAAGTGCATTTCTGTGCTGCAAAGAAGAAATGCACACTGCAAAAAAAGCTACAAATTGGCGGGAATTCTTTTGCACTGGGGTTTTCCTCTGCAGCAGAAAACTCCATCGTGCAAAGAAGCTGCAATTTAGCGGGAACATAATTCAGTGGTGCCAAAGCGCACACACAACAAAAATCACACCCTTGGGTTGTGACAGCTTTTAGTGTATGGTACGAAGAATATCTTTCATGATATTCAGGAATTCCCTAGCAGAAGTTCCCTGGTGTCTGGGGAAGGAGGAGCTTTTCCATCTCTTCCTGTTCTAGGGGCTGGTGGGATTGTGTCTGGGCTGCAGGTACTCAAGGTACGATATTACTGTTTCAGGGTCAAGTGACATTGGAGGAGGTGGCTGTGTGTTTCCCCAAGGGGCAGCAGACTCCACTGGACCCCAGTCAGAGAGCCCTCTGCAGGGTCGTCATGCTGGAGGAGAATGAGAATCTGGTCTCCCTGGGTAAGGATTACTGGAGTCTCTGAAGCAGACAGATCAGCTTCTGGGTTGGGTCCTTCTGAAGCTCCTTGGCTTTCAGGGGAAGTGGTCTCACAGTGCCTAGCTGCGCTTGGAGAGAGTCTGTCTGTCTCTTCCACTGTCACTGCCCTTGGAGAGGAGGTCTTGGGACATGTTGGAGGTATGAATCCATCCCTATCCCTGAGCTTCCCAGGGAGAGGCTTGGGGGTGTGCCCTGTTGTGCACTTATCAAGTTTGCTGCATGTTTGCACACGCAGATACTGTGTCCCCCCCGTCCTCCCCAGGATTGGTCCTGTGCCTGGTGGACCTGAAGTCTCAGCAGGATTGGAAGGAGGTGGGAAGATGCACAGAGTTGTGCCATGGTCCTGACAGAAATGGCCTGATGTGTGGCGTTTCCCACATCTCCTGTAGAAGGAACTGCCGAGGAGCCAACTCATCCCTGAAATGTTTTTCAGTGACCTGTCTTTTTCTTGTTTATTCAAGTGCACCTGCTTGCCCGTCAGGTTCAGAGCCCACTCTGTCACTAGCATGGTAAAACGCTGGTTTGCCTTGTTCCTTTTTGTTGGAACTGGATTTCCAGTTCCAAAATCCCTTGTGACCTCCCATCTGAACAGGGAACGTAAAGAATCAAGCAAATGGGTACAGATACCATCTGTCACTGGCACACACACCTTGAATTCCCACTGGGCCCTGCAGGCCCCTCCCCAGTTCCACCTCATCCCTACCTTTTCATCCTGGTAGGGATGAAAAGGTTCATCCCTACCAGGTCCCAGTTTTCCCAGGTAGGTGCTGGTTCCCCATGATGGGTGTTACTCAAGGACTTCCAGGCTGATTAACATTAGCTGGGTGTCCCACCTGCTATGGTTTTAGAGGTGAAAGGTTTTGGAGATTGTCTCTTCTTCCTCTGATGAGGGGCTCCAGAGGGATTCAGCTTCTTATTTTTAGTCTCAGTCATTTTTCCCCTTTCACATTTCTCTGTTTCTTCCAGCCCAGGGAGTACCTCATGTCTGCATTCTGGTTCCCTACTCTCCTCTCTCTTTTGCATCTGGCAGTGAGACCGTGATGGAAAATAACATAAAGAATCCCCACCAGCCCTGCCCAGAGAAGGCAAAACTCCATGGGGCAGCCTTGGGAGGAGCAGAAGGGTTTATCCCCCAGCATCCTGAGCCGAGAGGAGCCCAGGAGAATCAGTGTGGATCAAGGGGGCTGCAGGGAAAGCTCCCCCAGGGCAGATGTGTTGGTTCCAGTCCTGGTGGTTGCAGCTTCTGGGACCTGAATGGAACCATGGTCCAGCCACAAATCTGTAGTAAAGAAAAACCCAGGGAATTTGCCAACTACAGCAGAAGACTCAATCTCAGGTCAAAGGTTTCTGCAAAGGAGAGTGCGTGCCCAGGAATACAATCCTATGATTGCCTTGACTGTGGGAAAAGTTTTATCACTAGCTCAGACCTTTTGCAGCATCACATCCTCCACTCTGGAGACAAACCCTACACATGCCTTGACTGTGGGAAGAGTTTTACCCGGAAGTATGGTCTTACTGAACACCAGAGCATCCACACGGGCGAGAAACCCTACACGTGCCCTGACTGTGGGAAAAGCTTCAGACGGAAAAATGGCCTCGTTGAACACCAGAGGATCCACACAGAGGAGAAACCCTACATGTGCCCTGCCTGCGGGAAAAACTTTGGGTTGCGACACAGTCTTATTAAGCATCAGAGGATCCACACAGGAGAAAAACCCTACGCATGCCATGACTGCGGGAAAAGCTTCAGACAGAAAAATCGTCTTACAGAACATCAGAGACTCCACACAGGAGAGAAACCCTATTCATGTCCTGACTGTGGGAAAAGTTTCAGGTTGGGACACGAACTTACTAAGCATCAGAGGTGTCATACAGGGGAGGAACCCTACATGTGCTCTGACTGCGGGAAAAGGTTCAGGTACCGAGATGGTTTTGCTAAGCATCGGAGGCTCCACACAGGGGAGAAGCCATATTCATGTGCTGACTGTGGGGAGAAATTCCATCTGGGCCGTTCCCTTAAGCAGCATCAGAGCATCCACACAGGTGAGGAACCTCGCAATTGTCCTGCCAGCTGAGACAGCATTGCTCGGATGAGTCCCCCTTATTCAGCCTACAAGTATCCATGCAAACCTTTCCAGAGCTCTGCGTGGGAGGAGTGATAGGAAGGTCTCTCTCAGCTTCCACCAAGTCCTACCCCCAGGTAGAAGGCAGGCATTTGGTTGCACTGTAGGTAGATGGGCTGCAAGGTATGAATGTGCAGTATTGGGGGATGATGTGGGTCCAGGCAGTAGGGGAGAGGGATGGTTTGGGTTTTAGGAATGGGTAGCTGATGGGGACCAAGTGGGAAAGGGAAGGTGCAGGGGGAAGACATGAGTGGCTGAGGTGCCTTTGCCAAAGTCCCACAGACCCTTCTATGTGGAGGACAAGGGTCACAAACTAGCCTGTTGCTTTCTGAAGTCTTTTTCCCATCAGAGAATAAAACCTGTGAGGTTTTGGGCTGTAGCATGGACTGAAGCTGCTTCTGTATTCTCACCGTGTTGCTTTCTACCCCTGAATACAGGCTCTAAAACCACATCCACCCTTGACTCCAGATTTTCCCGTAGTCCCCAAGGAGAGGATAAAGAAATGGCTGCTATACCGCTTGCTCAGGTGAGGGATTGTCAGGCAGTTTGCCCATGGGATTTGATCTGATGAGGGTGGAACCATCACTAAAAGGCGCAAAAGAGAAGTAAAAACCTTTCTTTTGTAAGGAGCAAAGGTCACACTGTGATACCAGTGTGGAGAGACCAGGGGGCACAGCTGGTGCCAGGTACCAGTTCGTATTGTTATAGGAATCGAGGTTTATTTATTTAGTCTTTAGACAGGAATTGGGGCTGTGATTAGCTGCACATAAAAATCACATCTTGGTTGATGCCATCTGGCACATGCTTATGCCCATCAGTGTTAAGTAGCTGGCACAAAGCTTTGTTCTTGAGTAACTTGCTACCATATATCCAATTTGCCACTCCTCCCTTCACTGCACACCTCCTGTATGTGGTGTTGATTGAACTAAGGGGACTGGGTTCAGATGGGCTATGTATGAGGGTATAGGTCTGCAGGCACCTCTGGTGATTCCTCCCCCCAGTCACACACTGATCTAGAGACAAGTACCTTCTGTTCTCAGAGCTGCAGCCTCATTTAGGGGAAAAACCCTGCTGGGCAATTGTGGCTTTTTGGTTCCCTGGGGAGTAAAGGCATATCCATCTCTGGAAAGAGACACAAATGAGCCAAAGGCAGGGAAGGGACCAACAGAGAGATTCCTGAACCTGCAGCCCTAAATGGGCCCTCTTGGGCATGATTTTCCCCATTATCAGGCTCTATTGACTTCCTACTGGCCCAAAGATTTTGTGAAATGTTGAAATGGATCCTGTGCAGTTAAGGGGTATACATCAGGATCTGGGGGAACGCCTGTTCACCAGAGCGCCCCAAGGGATGACAAGGTCAAACATTCACAAATTCCTCCAAGTCCGTTTCAGGCTGGACATAAGGAAGAACTTCTTTGCTATCCGAGCCCCCAAGGCCTGGGACAGACTGATGCCAGGGGTGGTGCAAGCATCTACTCTGGACTCCTTTAAAAGATATTTGGACGTATATCTTGCTGGGATCCTGTGACTCCAGCTGACTTCCTGCCCCTGGGGCAGGGGCCTGGACTCGATAATCTTCTGAGGTCCCTTCCACCCCTAATGTCTATGAAATCTATAAACTCATTCCAGGCTCTCTGAGAAATAACTTGGAGGTGATTCTGGTATCTCATCCAGTCACCTCAAGAGAAGTAGGCAATGCACACGTGTCTGTTTGACCCGTAAAGTGTGTCCCACTGCAGATCTGCACCTGCCAACTGGCCCCCTTCTGGGCCTCTTCAGTCTGCATATACGTTGCTGGGTCCTCTAGCCCCCTCACACTGCCATGCACCCCACTCTTCCCACCTCCATCCTCCTTGTGGCTCTCTCTCTCTGTCTCAATATTTATTGACAGGTCCTATGAGCTCTTTCCACCTTATTCCCTGAGGTGATTGCAGCTCCAGTGTTTAGACAGCAATGGGAACTGGCAGGTATCTTTACCACAGGCATCCTCACGTCCAGTGATCAAAAGCATAGGGCAGTGGTAGCATCTTGAAAAATGGTGCTTGCTGCTACCACACCTCTGAGATAACTTGCTGATGGTGGGCATTTGCACCATGCATCAGTGGGTGATTTCTGTCCCTGGAGAGTGGGAGAATTTTCCAAGCTGTGGGTGACTGTTGTGAGGAGGCTGATAAAATCAGCCCAGTTAGTAACTGTGTGCATGTTGATCTCCCTGCTTTGAATGTCTGGTGTTAAGGAAAGTTTAAGGGGAAGGGGATTTTCCATTCCTTCCTGTTCTGGGGTTGGTGGGATTGTGTTTGGGAAGCAGGTACTTAAGAAGTAGAATATTGTTGTTGTTTTTTCAGGGGCTGGTGACTTTGGAGGAGGTGGCTGTGTGTTTTCCCGGGAAGCAGAGATCTCCACTGGACTCCAGTCAGAGAGCTCTCTACTGGGATGTTATGCTGGAGAAAAATGAGACTCTGGTCTCCCTTGGTAAGAATTTCTGTCTCCATAGGCACCAGAAGCTGTGAGGTCTCTGAAGCAGACAGGTTAGCTTTCAGAGACCAGTTTCTTTTGATGACCCTTAGATTTCAGGGGAAGTGGCTGTATACTTCGTAGTAGCCCTGGGACAGAGACTGTCCCTTCCACTGTCCCTGCCATGAGATGAGAGGTTCTGGGACACACTGGAGGTATGAATTGATCCCCATGCTGGAGCTTCCCAGGGAGAGGTTGGGTGGGCATGCCGTGTTGCACATTTGTGCATACACCTCATATATCCTTCCCATCCTCTCCGGGACTGGTCCTGTGCCTGGAGAGTCTTAGGTCTCAACAGACTTGGGAGGAGATAGGAGTCACAGAGGGGCTGTGCCAGAGTCCTGGAAGAAATGGCCCAGCTTGTGGAGTTCCTTGCATCTCCTGTAGAGACAGCTGCTCAGGACCCAACTCACCCCTGAAATGATTTCCAGTAATCTTTCCTGTCTCTCTGGCTTATTCAAGGGCACCTGCCTGTCCATCAGGTTTGAAACCCACTCTGTCACTAGAACTGTAAAACATGGGTCTTACCTCTTGGATGGAGCTGGATTTCCAGATCCCTTGTGAGCTCCCATCTGAATGGGGGAAATCCATGCATCCCTGATCTTCTGGGCTGGGAGGGAAGGGCACTTCTGAGAAACATGTGCACATGGGAGGAATCAGATAGGTGGGTACAGATGCTATCTGTCACTGGCACAGACAGCTGGGATTCCCACCAGGGATCTGCAGGCCCCTCACCCAGTTCTGCCTCATCCCACCCAGGTGTTAAGTGCCTAAGTAAGTGCTGCTTCCCTATGACAGATGTCATTTAAGCTCCCAGGCTGACTAATATCAGCAGAGGATCCCTCCAGTCACAGGTTAAGACACAGGACAGAGAGTGTCTCTTCCTCCTGTGATGAAGGGCTTCAGGGGGATTCATTCAGCTTCTCATTTTCAGTCCCTCTGGCAGTTAGTGTTTTGTCTCCCTTTTACATTTTCCTTGTTCGTCAAGCCCAGAGAATGTCTCATGTCTGCCTTCTTTCTCTCTGTCTCTCCTCCCTCCTATCTCAGCAAGTAAAGAGACCTTCAGCCAGAACAAGGCGGAGAATCCCCAGCAGCCCTACCCAGAGGAGACAGAACCCTGCAGCTCGGTCCTGGGAAGAGCAAAAGGGGATGATCCCCAGTGTCTTGAGCACAAAGAAGCCCATGAGAGTCAGCACAGACCAAAGAGGCAGAAAGCAAATCTCTCCCAGGGGAGATGTGTTGATTCCAGTCCTGGTGGATGTAGCTTCTGGGACCGGAAAGGAGCCGTGGTCCAGCCAAGAATCTGCAGTCAAGAGAAACCCTTTGAATGTGCTGACTGTGGCAGAAGATTCCAACGCAGGTCAAAGCTTTCTGTACATCAGAGAGTGCACACTGGCATGAGACCCTATAAATGCCTTGACTGTGAGAAAAGCTTTATCACTAGCTCAGATCTTTTGCAGCATCAGATCCTCCACTCGGGAGACAAGCCCTACATATGCCTTGACTGTGGGAAATGCTTCACCCGTAAGTATGGACTTACTGAACACCAGAGCATCCACACGGGTGAGAAACCCTATGTGTGCCCTAATTGTGGGAAAAGTTTCAGACGGAAGAACGGCCTCATTCAACATGAGAGGATCCACACGGGAGAGAAACCCTACTCGTGCCCTGAGTGTGGTAGAAGATTCAGGTTGGGACATGAACTTACAAAGCATCAGAGGCACCATACAGGGGAGAAACCCTACATGTGCTCTGACTGTGGGAAAAGGTTCAGGTATCAAGAAAGTCTCACAAAGCATCGGAGGTTTCACACAGGGGAAAAACCCTATGTGTGCTCTGACTGTGGAAAGTGTTTCAGGTACCAAGAGAGTCTCACTAAACATTGGAGACTCCACACAGGGGAGAAACCCTACATGTGCTCTGACTGTGGGAAGTGTTTCAGGTACCAAGAGAGTCTCACTAAACATTGGAGACTCCACACAGGGGAGGAACCTTACCTGTGCTCTGACTGTGGGAAATGTTTTAAGTACCAAGGGAGTCTTACTAAGCATCGGAAGCTCCACACAGGGGAGAAACCCTACACATGCCCTGACTGTGGGGAGAGCTTCCGTCTGGGACATTTCCTTAAGCAGCATCGGAGCATCCACACAGGTGAGGGACCTCAAAGTTGCGCTGTCGGATGAGACAGCTTTGGTCAAATGAGTTCCCCTACTCAGCTTCAGAGCATCCACATGGCCCTTCCAGAGCTCTCTATATGGGAAAAAATGGCAGGGCAGATGTCTCTCTCAGCTCCCACCAAGTCCTGCCCCCAGGTAGAAAACAGGCACTTGATTGCACAATGAGCTCATGGGCTGCAAGGAACGGCTGTGCATCACTGGGGCATGATGTGTGTCCAGGCACAGGTAGAAGGGTTGGGTTGGTTTTCAGGGGTGGCTGGTTGTCAGGCTAGGGGGAAAAGAGGAGATGCAGAGGGAAAATGTGAGTGCCTGCGGTTTGTCTGCCCCAGCCCTGGAGATCCCTTGTGCAGAGGATAAGTGTTCTTTTTTTAACTGGTTGCTCTCTGAAGCCTTTTCCCAGCCAGAAATAAAACCTGAGAGGATTTGGGCTGCAGCAAGAGCCTCAAGGCATATCTGAATTCTCCCTTTGTTGCTTTCTCTCCCCAGTGATAGGCTTCAGACCCATGTCCACCTTTGACTCCAAATCATCCCATAGTTCCTGGGGATATGGAAGAGAAATGGCAGCAGTGGCACTGACTCAGGTGAGGGATTGTCAGGGAAGCTTCTTGATGGAGGTTTAGTCTGGTGATGATGGAACAGTTGCTAAAGGAGCTGGGGAATGGCAGGTTTTCTACTGTAAGCAGAAAAAGATGCTTCGCAAAACTAATGATCAGAGACCAGGGGTACTGCTGGGTGCCGGACACCAGTACTGGAATATCGTTACAGGGATAGAGATTAATGTATGTAGTCATTAGCAGGAAATGGGGCAGTCACTGATTGTATGTGGAAAACACATCTCGGGTAAAACCAGTTGACACATATCTGTGACTGTCAATGGGAAAAAGCTGGCATAGAGCTTTGTTTTTGAGTAATGTGCTACCTCATGTCCTATTTCCAACCCTCCCCCTCCAATACCTCCTTGTTCATACTGGTGCTTGAATAAGGAACTAGGTTTAGATGGGTATAGGGTATAGGTCTGCAAGCATCTCTGATGACTTCTCACAGCCAGAACCAGACAGAGACAAGGATGTATCACTCCCATTCTTTTCCTCCTTGCTTCTGAGCAAAAACCTGGCTGAAGTGGTGCCGACTCAGGTGAGGGGATATCGGGCAGTTTTCCCATGGGAAATGGTCTGGTGAGGGTGAGGCAGTCACTAAAGGGACAAAGGAGACTGAAAAATAGAAGCTGTTCTGCTATAAGGAGCAAAGGCCATACCACAAACCCTGTGTGGAGAGACCCGTTCATGCAGCTGGTGCCAGATACTAGTTTGTATTCTTACAGGAATAAAGGTTGACCTATTTAGTTATTAAACAGGAATTGGGGCTATGACTGGCTGAACGTGGAAAGCACCTCTTAAGTAATGCCATCTGGCAAGTGCCTGTGCCCATCAGTGTGAAGAGCCAGCCCAAAGCTTTGTTCTGGAGTAATTTGCTGCCTTATATGTAATTTGCCACTCCTTCCTCTACCATACACCTCTTGTTTTACAGGTGGTTGAATACGGGAACTGGGTTTAGCTCAGCTGCATGTGAAGGTGTAGCTCTACAGGCATCTTCAATGACTCCCTTCCCTCAGTCGTACCCTGATGAAAAGACAAGTACCTGCCATTCCCAGAACCACTGCCTCATGATTGAGTGGTTGGAAGTCACCTCCAAAGAGGTGGAGAGTGTGCATTTGTCTAGTCATCCCAGTACAAAGCAAGTGTGCCCCATTACAGGAGAAGATCTGCACCTGCCAACTGGCTCTCTTCTGGGCCTCCTCAGTCTGTATACGTTGCTGGGTCACCTGTATCTTTTCTGTGTGCCTCAACCCTAGCGCACACCCTGCTCCTTTCCCATCAGCATTTTCCAGGTGGCTCTCTCTCTGTCTGTACATCTGTCAACAGATCCTATGAGTTCTTCCCACCCCGTTCCTGTTGAGACCACAGCTTCAGTATTCTTGGCAACATGTGGAGCTGGCAGCCATCTGTATTAGGGGCATCCTTACTTCCATCATTTTAAAACTTAGAGTAGTGGCAGTGTCTTGAATAAGACCCTTTAATTCCCCCTCACTTCTTAGTTATTTTCTTGTAGTGGCCTTGTTGACCAAGGATGAGTGGGGAATATCATTGGAAGGTTTCCCAAACCACCTCTGACAATTATGAAAAGGGTAATGAAATTCATCTGGTTGGAAGATGTGATTGTGCACATTTTGGTCTCTGGTCTCCTCACTTCAAGTGTCTGTTGCTAAGAAAAGCTTTCCTCAAATTTCCTCATTCCATATATTAAAAGTCCCTTGATCTCAGAGGAAGGGGATTTTCTATCCCTTCCTGTTCCAGGGGGCTGGTGGGATTGTGCCCGGGGAGATATGCGAGAGGAGGAATTTTGCTGTTGTTTCAGGGGTCGGTGATCTTCGAGGAGGTGGCTGTATATTTTACCAAAGGGGAGTGGACTTTGCTGGACTCCAGCCAGAGAGCCCTCTACAGGGATGTCATGTTTGAGAATTATGAGATGGTAGTCTCACTGGGTAAGGGTTTCTGCCTCTGCTGGGGGCTCTGGAGCTCCTGGGTCAATTTTTACTCCCGGATCTTTCTTGGTCAATTACATTTCAGAGGGGTCAACCCTCTTGTTGCCTAGAGCTCCAGATGGGGAGCCTTTCCCCTCCGCAGTCCGTCCTGTGGAAGAGAGAACTTGGCAACACCAAGGAGACACTAATCCATACCCAGAGTTTCCAGAGGTTGGGGTGTGTGTACTTCTTAATATTTTTAAACACATGGAGACCTGCCAACACAGATTTCGTGTCCCTTCCTCTCCAAAATTGGCTCAGAGATGTCTTGGGTCTTAGCACAGTTAGGAGGAGACAAGAGGCTGCACAGCTGTGCTGGGTGCTGGAGTCTTGAGACAAAAGGCTCAGCCTGTGGAGGTCCCTGAATCTCATGTCTCAGGCTGTGAAGAGATGTAACATTTGAAGCATGTCTGACCTGTAGAGACCTTTGAGAAGTGGGTGAAGTGCTCCTACAGAGCTTCTGTTTGAAGGAGATGCTGTGGTAAAGAGCCCCATCTGTTGTCGTGCATATGAAGCATGACACAGGCCCAGGTCCTCCAGCCTATACCTTGTTTCCTGCTTCCCTCAAGGGTAATGGGTGATTGGGAGGAGCTGATGTCAGTGGGTACTCCTATGCCTGTGCTTCTCTCCCAAAGTGCCCCTCTATTACCCCTCAACCAGAGCCATGACATAGATTGAAGGCTAGAGAGCAGGAATCCTGGCTCTAGCTTTGCAGTGGAAAGGTGTTCTAACCCCAGTGGGTTGGGGAATGGGGAACAGGGGTGTCCTGATCTGGGATGGAGTCTTGCTTTGGAGTGGAGGGGTAATGGCAGGACCACGGCCACAGACAGGTTGCCCCATTCTCCCTCTCTGCCCTGTCCTCGGAAACCTGCTTGCTGCTATGCACCCTGTCACTTGTAACACCCTGGTCTTGTCTGTCTTCTCCCCTTGGAGCTGGATTTCCCATTCCCAAACCTGATGTGATCTCCCAGCTGGAACAGGGAGAAGAGCCATGGGGCCCAGATTAGAAAGGCGCTGAAGAAAGGGAGATCCTGAGAAACATGCACACAGGTGAGGAATTGATTTAACAGGCACAGTAGCTGTCAGTCAGTGATGCCGACATCTGGGATTCCAGCCCCTGAGCCCTCCCTGCTCCCTCAGGTCCCCCACATCCTATCCAAGTCACAATTATCCTTAGCAAGGGCTGGCGTCCTCATGAGTGAAGTTGCTTCTGGATTTCCTGTGTATGCGATTAACCCCCACCCCCATTCTGCAGAGCCCACCTCCCAAAGGTTCCAGTAGGAGGTGGAAGCAGAACAGATCCTCTTGGATGAAAGGTTTGAGGGATTCAGTCCCTGGTTTTACAGTGGTCATGTCAGTTATTTTAAGTCTCCTTTTCATGTGCCTTTTGCCTCTAGCATGGACAGTAACTCCTGTCTGCTTTCCCTCTCTCTCTCTCTCTCTCTCTCTCTCTCTCTCTCAGCAGGCCATGGGGCAGTGAGTGAGAATTCCCAGCAGCCGTGTCCTGAGCAAGTGGAAGCAAGTAGGGCATCACTGGGAAGATTTGTAGGACACGCTTCCCAGAGTCGTGAACAGGGAGAAGCTTGTGTGAGTCAGGACCAGCCAGAGACTCTGCAGGCAAAGTGACCTCAGCAGGACTCCTAGAAGTCACTCTCACTGAGAGGGAGGCTTGGAGGATTGTCATGGGACCGTTGTGCAGCCCAGAACCTGTAGTGAGAGACTGGGTGAATGTGTAGGAGAAACTTCTGATCCTGGCCGAAGCTTCGTGCATGTTGTGTAGTGCACTTGCAGGAGAAGCCACATATGTGGCCCGGCTATGGGAAAAGCTTCATGTGGGGGACTTGGTGCTCCATTGTCTAATCCACACAGAGAACTCACACGTGCTGTAAATGTGGGTGAAGATGCTTGGAGCATTTGCCTTGCTGTACATCATGTAACCCCACATGAAAAAACTGGAATTGACTGCAGGCAGGGGTGGATCTGGGGGAGGCAGTAGTGAGGTTGCACCCCCCTTTGATTCTTTCTGCAGGTGTAGAGGGGCAGGGAGGGACCCAACTTCTGATTTGGGTTGTGGGACCTGATGTGAGGCCCCATAGCTTCTCTTTGGTTCTCTCCATCTCTGTGCTGGTCAGACTTGCTGCAGCTATGGTGGTGGCAGGTCTGGTCAGAGCAGGGTATGGGGAATGTGATGCTGACTGCAGGAGAGTAGCAGTGGTTTTGACTATTGGCTGCAATGATTTTGGTTCCCCACACTCCAGCTGTTAGTGTGGTGCAGGCATGGGCTTAGGCTGCTGTTTATGGGTCATGGGCTCCCTTTACACTGGTTTCAGCAGTCCCTACAGTGTAGATTCTCTGGGGACTGAGATGCTACTGCCTGTCCCAGCTGCAGCAGCTGGAGCCCGTGCCTACACCCACGCAGCAGTTGGAGCATGGGGGGCCCAAGCCATGCCAGGTAACACTCCTGCTCTCTGGCAGTCAGCATAATATTCCCCAGCCCCAATCTTGCTCTACCCCAGGCATGCTATACCTCTGCCCTGACTCCCTGCTGCTGCCTCCATGGCTGCAACAACTCTGTAAGATCTGTTTGAAGGAGGAGTGGGTAGTGAGGGCAGACAGGACATCCCCAGCTTCTCACCACAGGCCAGGAAAAGGGCTGCTCTCTGCTTCCTGTCCCATTCCTCCACTTCTGCTGGGAACCCCAGGGCAGCCAAGCTTGGGGTTCTGCCCAGTCATGGGGCAAGGAGCTTGCACCCCTGCCTTTGGCAGGGTGCTTTCACCATCCCTGGAAAAGGTGGGTGTGGGTTGCATCTCCCCTTTTCTAATCCTAGATCTGCCCATGACTGCAGGAAGAGCTTCAGGAGGAACAACTGGAAAACGCACAAGAGCCTAGATACCCCACAGGGTCATACCTTACTAGACACAAGAGAATCCACTCAAGAGGGTGAGCTGAGCGTACATCACTGGCCGAGTGTCTAGGTAAAGACTGCAGGTGGGGAAGTGGTTTGGGTGGCAGTGGAGAGGAGCTGGTACAGACTGGAGGAGGAGGCAGTACTGGAAAGTACAGATATGAGTCATCCCAGGTCATGAGGGAGCCAGCAGTGGGAGATGTCTTTGGGTCTCATGAACTATCTCTACGTAAAGAGAAGAAAATAGAACTGCCCCTCATATGTTGTGTCTGACAACAGCTCTGGCTTTCTGGGTTGAGGCAGCTGAGTGTTATTGAGGAAGGCCGCAAAGGGCCCCGTCTCTGAAATGTCTGCATAGCCTGCTTTGGGGGATTTGCCACCTGATTAGCAAAGTAGTGACTATAGTAGGGCTGGAGTAGGACAAATGTGCAAGCCACAGGATGCTTTTATGACTAATGTAGCTGCTTTTGCAACTCTCCCTGACCATTCAAAGCTTTTGACTTTCCTTAGCCCCTGCACTGCCCTTAGATTGCGTATAGGGGTTTGGAAGTGGAGGCAGCAACTCATCCCACAGACAAAGGGAGCTGGAGAACCAAGCAGGCTGGGAGGGCCTGAATCAGGGAAGCACTGTGGTGCTGGTGGTGGTTGAATCTGTGTTGGTGTAAGAATTATTTTCCTCTTGTGGAGCAGGGAAAATAAAGCAGAGCCTCTTGGCCAAGGTTTCTAGTTCCTGTGGTCACCAGCCCAGGCTGCACAGAGAAGTTGCAGCACCTCCATGCTTGGAGGCCTCGCAGAGCAGGCTGGACAGCTGCTAGACTGGGCAGGTTCAGTCCGGGGTCTCTCGCCCCACACAGGGGGCTGAGTTAGGTGACCCTGTGGGGGCCGTTCCTACCCTGTGCTCTTGTGGCCCTCGGGGCATTTCCCTGGCCCACCTGTAGTGCTCTGGCTCTGCCTGCAAGAGGGCTGGGAGCTCAAGGCACCAGTGAGTCCAAGCCCCGGCCCTTGTGGAGCTCTCAGCCTGGCTGAGGCTTGCGGGCTCCTGTGAGGGGGATAATGGGGGGGTTCAGTCTTGTCTGCATCATCAGGGCATTGTCTCCTCGTGCAGCCAGGCCATAGTAGGCCCTGCCCCACCTCCCCTTGGAGACTTCAGCTTTCCGTGGTGAGGAGTGGGTGTCACTGCCCACTGCCATTGCCTCACCCCAGCCCAGATCGCCCAGGGCAGCCCCTTGCCCCATACTGAGCATGAGCAACTGCCTGTGCAGGCTGGTGCCACTGTTCCCTTGCCCATCCCCCTCTGCCTCCCTTGGGATTGCATTTATTTTCTGGCTGCTGGTCCTGGGGCTCCAGACAGGCACAGAGGGTGGAGGATGCTCCTGCTCCTGGTGCTCTTCACAAAGGGGTGGAGCTTCCCACCCACCACTGCCATCACCCACCTACCCACAGCTGTGGGAGCCCAGCCCTGACCCAGGAGGCTGCCACAGGGCTGTGGGAGAGGGACGGTCCCTTTCCCTAGCATATGCTGCAGAGTGCAGGAGCCAGGACGGGGTAGGGGTCCTTTGCTTGAGTACAGCCTGGCTCTGGCCTGCCCTGCCCGACCTTGCTGCTGTGGGGGCGGCTGGTATGGGAAGAGATGGGTAGTACAGCTGGTCTCTCAACAAGGCAGCCATTGGAGCCCCAGAGGGGCTTCAGAGGTGGCCTATGGCTTCTTGCTTGAGCTCATTGTCTGGTTCTTCTTCCTTGCCCACCTATGGTTACTGAACTCTGCCTGGTGCTCGATCAGGTGAGAGAGCTTGGCAGGCTTTGAGACCCAAACTGAAGAAGCCAGAGCCCAGGACTGGAAGGGCCAGGGTCACTCACTCTGAGTGGCCTACCTGCACCATTACAGCTTGAGTCCCTAATGCTCAGCCAGAGTGATGCAGCTGCCAGATCCGTTGCAGGGTGAGATGGGGGGAGATGCACAAAGTGTGAGAAAATCAGCAGGTAAGTACAGGCTCAGGCTCGTTGCTGCCTGGCTGATCCCCCATCCCCATTGCCTGGTCCCTCTGCAAGGATGTATCACAGAGAAGTTGGGCTGGAAGGGACCTCCTGAGGTCACCTAGTCCAACCTCCTGCCTCAGGTAGGATCATCTCTATCCAAACCATCCCATACAAACCATCATCTTAAACTCTACTTAAGACTACTGCCAACCCTGACACAATGCAGACCTAACACCCTAATCTGTCAAAGGTGAAGCAGGGAACCACAGCAGCCAACCGCCTGTTTCTATGAAGTGTCAGTATAGCCTTAAGAAATCTGGGCCAGGGGGCCACACCCCCCGCTATAGAGGAAGGTAAAACCCCCACAGTCCGGACCAGTCTGACCATGGGGTAAAATTCCTTTCTGACTCCAAATATGGTCGTCATTCTGACCTTAAGCAAAGAAACAAGACCCTCTAGCCAGGAACCTCCAGCTTTGGTCCCTTACCAGGGCCACTGGAAACTACTACAATATATAAGCACTGTGGTCCTAGGTAAGCACTGTAATGTATAAATCAGTTGCCTCTAATTCACACGAGTTATGGAGAGGTGCCTCAAGTCCAATTAGGGTGAAAACCGTCTGTCTAAGTAAAAGAACAGTCGTGGAAATGTTGCAACCTCCAGCTATCCTGTTGCTGGGCAATGTAGTAGAGAACTGGAAGGTGTGCAGGCAAAGGTCTGAGTGGTACCAAGTAGTCACAAGGGCAGAAGACAAAAGCGATAAAGTCAAATCCTCAATCTTGTTGCATGTCATGGAGGAGCACACCTTAACACTTTCGGTGGGCCAAAATATACATTTGAGCAGAAGGCTGTCCAAATTTAAAGATTATTGCATGCCTAAAAGAATGAGATCCTTGAAAGATACGGACTTTTTTCTATGTGCAAACAAAGAAGGAGAAATACATAGTACACTTCTTGATTTTTTTGAAGGGGAGCCTGAAGGAAAAATAAAATCTTCAACTGAGGTAGGTGAATGGCAGCAGCTAAGTAGCAGAGCCTGGTCCCGCACCTGCTGCGAGCCCTGTGTGCTGGTTGGGTCTGTAGACCAACCTAGAGGTGTGGGGTCAAGGACTCCAGGCTGAGTCTGACTCCATGCAGGGTCGTTCCCAGTTGTCTGAGTCTGGAGTCACACACTGAAGGGGGCAGGAAACCTCGTATTGGATTCGAGTAAATATGGCAGTCGTTAGAGTGGAAGCAAGGCCTTGACTGGCTACATGTTAGAGGTGATGCCAGCTGGCACATTTCTGTGACCCTCACTGTGAAGTGGGTGGCACATAGCTTTGTTCTCAAGTAATATACTGCCTCATGTCCAGTCTGCCTCGCTCTGGGTAGTACTCATCCTTAAATAAGGAACTGGGTTCAGATCACCTGCATGTGAGGGGATACATGTAGAGGCATTGTCACTGACTTGTCCCCTCAGCCGCACCCCAAAGAAGAGACAAGTACATGCCATTACTAAGCCATTACACCTTTTCTGAGCAAACCCTGCACATACTGAACCATTTCTGGTTTCTTTTCCCTCGAGGGGTAAAAATGTTACCACCTCTAAAAACAAGTGTGGAGAAGCCAGAGGAAGAGGGGGATCCACGGGAGGAAATTCTTGCACCTGCAGCCCTGAATGGGCTGTGTGGGGGATTGATTTTCCCTTACATCAGACCCTGGTTCTGAGCTGGTGGCATTGTGGCTGGGCAGGTATTTGAGAGGTGAAATCTTGTTTTTTCAGGGGCCGGTGACCTGTGAGGGAGGTGGCTCTGCATAACCCCATCTTTTGACAAAGTCTTTGTGGTCCCCCTTGATGCCTCAAGGGCAGGTCTGGGATCAAGGTTAGCACCGTGGGGGAGGGAGGGTGACCAGGGAAAACTCCCCATTGCATGTGTGAGCAGAGCAGAGAACATCCCCACAAAGAAGAGCTCTGTGAGTGCTTTTGGGGAGCATCCAGGAAGTGCAGGAGGCCTAAACAGTACCAGCCATGGCTTTGGGGGAGAGGAAATTGATACCCCTATTATCTGCATCTTTCCTTCTTCATAGTCCAAAAAGACAGGATGTCATGCTGGAGAATTATGAGATTGTGGCCTCACTAGACAAGGATCCCTGTCCCTTAAAGGGCCTCTGCAGTCCCCAGGTCAGGTCTTACTTTGGGCTCACTCTTGCTCCCTTAGATTTCAAGGGAATAATACCCTTGGTCCCCTGAACTGCTGAGAGGGAGATTTTCCCTGCCACATGCTGTCCTGTAGGACAGGGGAGTTAGCACCACCACGGATATGCTTATTCATTGTTTTCTAATATTAGCAAGATTTCCTAATTTTTTATATAAATGACCACAAGCATAGTCTCTCCATGCTCTTCATATCTTTTTTTATGATGGACTGAAGCAAAGCTAGAAGCATAAATTTCTACAACTTGCACAAAAGAGCAGCTTGATTTATCTGGGGACTCTCGTGAACATTGATTCACCATGGATCAGGCAAAAGGAAGGCTGTATAGCATGTACTGACCACATGGTGTCACATGTCCTTAAGATGAAGTTTGGCTTTCCCCATTTCTTGAGACAGAGATATTACTTCTCTGTACTGTGCAAAGCTGTCAGTAGAAAAGCTAGCAATATCATCTGTACTTGAAACACATATGCTCATTCACTCAGATTTAGTTTTATCCATAATGGCTTTCAAAGTTATTGAGAAGGAAAAAGCAACCAAGATATTCTGCAAGTCCCTGACCTTTTTGGAAAAAGATTTTTCTTTGGAGAAGAGCCTGAAATTTGCCTAGTTCTGCAGCAAATTTTCCTTTAAAAAAAGAGGAGAAAGATGACTAAAATGCTAGTAAAGGAGTATCTCTTTCTATGAATTTGAAAATTACCTTTCCACACTGAGGGCATGGGTAGAATTTATGCTGTAATTTCAAGGTAGTTTGGACAGAGTTCCCAAGGTGTAGTACCATCTCTGTAATGAACTAAATCTGATGTTTTGCCCACAGATTCAGCACAAACAGCAGGAGGAGGAATCCAAACCAACTGCATCCCCTTGAAAAGCCCCTGCACTGATCTATAAAGTTCCAGACATTTGGGATATGTTTGCACCAGTGGGCACATCTACACTTGCATTAAGGCACTTTTTGTAGTGCTCATTAAATTTAGCACCTTCAATCTGAGGAACACAAGAACTGTGTGTTAGGCTGCCTGAATGTGTGGTAATGAATGCACACATTTTTTAAGTGACACTTAATGTGCAGTAGGACACTGAGGGCCTAGTGTCTAAATGCCAGCTGCCCTGAAGGCTTGCCTAGAAGATTTGGGGCTGAGAATGAGGGTGGTAGATAAAAAGGGGAGTTTGTGGCTGCCTGTGGCCATTTCCTGGTAGGCAGAGGACCCTCACATAAGGCACTTATTTTTTTTCATTAATTTTTTTAATTATTATTAAGTAGAGTACTTTTGGGTGCTAAAAGTTATTGAGAAGTTCACAGGGGATGGCCCCCAGCTATGCTCTGTGGTCCAGGGGCTCATGTGACCTGCTGGTAACTAACAGGTTATGAGTTCAAGCCTGGTGGTATTGATATGATACTTGGAAGTAGGAATTACAGGCTTTGTGAGTTTTCAACTTTTTTTTTTTTTGCCCCCCAACCCATGCCAAGCTCAGATGGACTGCAGAGCTCAGCTGACAAGTGCCAGAGCTGCGGGGAGGAAAGACTCAGAGCTTAGCGTGACATGCTGAAACCCATGCCATGCTAAGTCCCAGATTCTGGCCCCTGTTTCACTGGGAGCCCTGGCAGTGTGTCTGAGG